ACATGAGATGAAGGCACTGCAACCAACTTCAGACTGATGTCATTTCTAAGCCACTCGTCCGACAGCTGTTAAAATTATTCCAGTGACAGCTCATTATATTGTTTACAAGCTTCCAAAAGTATTTTAGTGAGAATTTTCCAGAAAAAAAGTTATTCGTTATGGAATTCAAGCGTGATAGTGAAGATCGGATGAAAAATATATGTATATGGGAGCTATAGCTATATCTGAACCGATTTTCTCCAAATTTAATTTACTTTCTTGTAGACTGAATTTGATGGGATGTACCAAAATACAGTTCATTTGGGCTTATATTAGCTATTTGGTGCACAATTAAACCGAATTTCCGTTGAAGATATATAGCAGCTATATCTAAATCTGATCCGATCATTACCAATTTCAATAGGATTCGTCCTTGGGCCAACTAAATATTGGTTACAAAATGCGACCAGCATTTTGTTAACAAGAAAGTGATTCTATGAAGATCATCAAAAGTAACTATGGGTCTATCTCGCTTCCTTCTGCATGTTACAAACAAATGCACGAAGACATAATACCCTTACCACTATGTGGTGTAGGTTATAAATACATGCACAGATGGACGGACATTGACATAGAGTTTTACGCTAATCAAGAATATATATACATTGTAGGATCTAAAATGCATATTTCGAGGTCTTACAAAGGAAATGACAAACTTAATATAACCTGGGTTAGGGTAAAAACATTTAAATAAAAAAATAATAATATTAATTTTTAAATTGCATGCCCATTATTATACAAAGAATATTGTAATGCAGCAGTTTTCAGTTGTTTTTATTTACGTGTCTGTTACACAGTAGCAAAACGCCACCTATCGCACACGTTGTCGAGTTCCTCTCTAAAGCTTTATTAAAATTTTCAGACATTGTGTTACTGTTAGCGTGTTACTTCTAGTAAATATGAAATATTACTTAACACTTGCTTTGCGAGAGAGTCCCAAGCATGAGTAACGCTAACCAAAAATGTCAACAATAAACGTATACGTCATTATTATAATTTTATTAGTACCTAATGAATTCCGCTCACAGAAATTGAAGAGAAAAAATTAAAATCTCTTTTGATTGAGGTATCAACTAAATAATAAAAAATATTTTTAATTTAAATGGGTATTCTTAGAATGCCGGATTTAGATGTAGCTGTAAATAATTTGAAATACACTTAGTTCGGAAAGTTGTGTTTTAGATAAAATTCCAATATTAAATCCAATGCATATTTTGCAGCATATTTTTATGTACACTTTACTATCAAATGGATACTATACTTTGTTTGGAAAACTAGTTAATATACTCTCCATAGGCGGAGGGTATATTAACTTTTTGTCATTCTGTTTGTAACTTCTCGAAATATTAATGTTAGACCCTAAAAAGTTTATATATTCTGGATCAGCGTAAATTTCTAAGTCGATTTAGCAATACCCGTTTGTCTGCCTGTTGTAATCAAGCTATTTTTAGAACGAATTGAGATAGAAAACTAACATTTTGCACACATGTGTATTTTGCTGATATGAATAGGGGATTTATCGGGATTTATGATTTCCCATACAATTGGATATAAATGTTGGAGGAGTGTGAAAATATAATACTTAGGTCCTCTATATCTGTTACCTCACACACATTTCAACATTTTCTAAAAATTATCAGATATCTCATATAAAGTGAAGGAAGTAGTCGATATAGTCTAAGTCGCAATATATAAATCAAATTTATTTAGGTCCGACACAAAATGGACAATAGTTTCCCATTCGGGACCTGCTTCATAGAGGGTCAACAATTTGAATAATCATAACAGAAGTCAAAATATATTTAACACCGACTGATACTTTTTAATTCATTTTCGTTAGTTTTATGCATGGAATCGAAAGAAGAAGAAGAAAAATGAATACCAAGAAATTGAGAAATATTTTCGTGTTTTATTTTGGCAACATTGATACAAATATTCTTCTACCCACCACATAGTGGTAAGGGTATTTTGTTTTTTGCATTTGTTTGTAACACTTACTTACTTTTGAGGATCTGATGCCAGTCCGTCCGTCTGTACATGTATTTCTGTGAAAAAATGTTGGTCGCATTTATTATCCAAATGAGATAAAACTTTCCAAACAATATTTATTTCGCCCAAGAGCGAACCCAATTGAAATTGGTGGGATTCGGTTCAAATTATGATATAGTTCCCATACATATTTTCAACCGATTTAGGGTTAATTGTGCATCAAATGGCCAATATTAGTCCAAATGACCTGAATTTTGGCACATCCGAACGGATTCTGTCTGGGAGCAAGTACATTAAATTCGGTTTAGATATAGCTATAGCTCCCATATATATGTTTCATCCGATTTGGGGATTTAAGTCCCTCACTTGCGTAATATGCACTCCACCACAATAAACCAGATATCACATACAGCTCAGAAATAAGTATTTAAAATGTTGTCAAAATTTCGATATCTTAGTCTGATTTCAATTTTATTGTGCGCCAAATATGTAATATTCGTCCAAATAGGATGTGTTTCAGAACGTACGACCGAATTCAGCCTAGAAACAAGTATTTCAAATTTGGATAAAATCGGTTCAGATATAGCTATAGCTCCCATATAAATGTTTCATCCAATTTGGGGTTTTAAGTCCCTCACATGCGTTTTATCCGATATCAGGTTTATTGTACTTGTATCAGTCCTAATGGAATGAGATTTGGCAATTCCGACTGAATTCACCCTGGAAATAAGTACTTCAAATTTTGGTGAAAATCGGTAATATACACTTCACAGCAATGATCAGATGCAGCTCAGAAATTTGTTAAGACCTAAAATTTTGTTAAGATCGGTCCAGATTTGGATATAGCTCCTATATATATCTTTATCCGATTTCATGTTCATTGTTCACCAAATGGCTAATATGAGCCCAAATGGACTGAATTTTGGCATTTTCGACGGAATTCAGCCCAAAAACAAGTACTTACAATTTTGGTGAAAATCGGTTCAGATATAGCTATAGCTCCCAAATAAATGTTTTATGCCATTTGGTATTAACGTCCCCCTCATGAGTAACATGCACACCACAATAATGATATTTGATACCAAGAATCAAATACTGCTTGAAAATACCTCTCCCAAATTTTATGGAGTTTGTGAGAATAGATTGAATGGGTTTTTTTCATATTAAACCGAATATTGCCATTTGGAGAAGCTCCGATATATATATCCGGCTATATATATATTGCTCCAATAAATATTTTTTAATATAATCCTTATCGAAGTCAGATCATGTTATTTGGTTAACAGTTGGTATGATCTACTTCACATAAATTCCTAATATAAACTTTTTATTGCGGGAGCTCTACTAAATACGCATAGTGGTGTGGGGTATCGGCCCCGCCCGAGTATTGGCCTTTCCTTACTGGTTTTAATATACTATTCTTTTTTTGGTAGCATATAGTAAAATGTGACGAAAATATTATTGTTCTATATAAATTCGCATGAAGTACTGCTTTTATAGGACTGCAATATCTTCAACAGAATTGTATGTATTTTGAGTTCTCATATTCATCATTCAGAACTCTTGGTAAAAAAATTATATTTAGTAATATGAATCTCATTGCAATTATTTTTCTACAAATATCTGGATACTTTTTTATATCTGGATTCAAAAATTCTACTATTTTCATACTTTAAGATAGGTTTCCTTTGATTTGCTTTTGTAATTTTGAAGGTTGTAAATGCTTCGGCACGTCCCAACACAACAATATTTTTTATACCCTACACCACAAGGTGGTAAGGGTATTATGTCTTTGTGCATTTGTTTGTAACAGGCAAAGGGAAACGAGATAGACCCATAGTTCCTATTGATGATCTGCATATAATCACTTTCTGACAGACAGTCCGTCTGTCCATGTATTCTTGTGAACAAAATGCAGGTCGCATTTATTATCCGATTGAGATGAAATTTTCCAAACAACATTTGTTTGGCCCAAGGACGAACCCTTTTGAAATTGGAGATAATCGGTAAAAATTTAGATATAGCTCCCATATATATCTTCGTCCGATTTGCCTTTTATTGTGCACCAAACGTGTAATATCAGCCCGAATAGTATAGAATTTTGCACATACAACCAAATTAGGCCTGAAAATAAGTATGCCAAATTTGATCGAAATCGGTTCAGATATAGCTCCCATATACATTGTTAACAATTTGTTATATTTATTACCCACAGCCGTAATATGCACTCCGTAACAACGATATTCAGGGAAATATATCACATACAGCTCAGAAATACCTTTGCTAAATTTTATCGAGATCGGTTCAGATTTGGATATAGCTCCCATATATAACTTCGTCCGATTTACTTTTTATTGTGATCCAAACGTCTAATAATTGCCCAAATGGGATGGAATTTGGCACTTACAACCGAATTGAGTCTAGAAGGTAGTACGCCAAATTTGGTGAAGATAGGTTCAGATATATCTATAGCTCCCATATATATTGTTCATCCGATTTGTTGTATTTGTTACCCACAGCAGTAATATGCACTCCGTAACAACGATATTCAGGGAAATATATCAAATACAGCTCAGAAGTATCTTTGCCGAATTTTAATTTTGAACCAAATGGGCAATACAAGTCCGAATTTAAAAGATACAAATGCTTCGGCATATTTAGTCCTTTGAATTTTAAATTATAATTATAATCATAGGGTGTATGATTGAATTCTCCCATAAAAATTTTAATTGTTATGTGGAGCTCAACTAAATTAGCAAAGTGGTGTAGGGTATCATAAAATCGGCCCCGCCTGACTTTAGGACTTTCTTTACTGGTTTCTTATTGCTTTTTAACTAAAAATATGAGAGAAACTGAACTAAAAGTAAACAATACCCAAGTAGCTAATGGTTGCTCTCGGTTACTTTTTAAACGCCAATGGAATCACTTAATTGTATTTATAACCTTGGTGACAACAACACAACAGCAACGATCAGTGCCACCGTCATTGGAGAAGTGAATTGTCGACAGCTAACTACGCTCTCAACAGCGTAGATAAGCGGCAAACAGAGGGCTAACATAACAAATCAAAATATCAAATAGTTGAAAACGGTACGTACTCGCAACTGGTGGAAGAGCCACGGAAATATTTGTCAATCGCTTTAAATAACTACCAAACTACTCTCAAGTTAACTATAGTCGCTCAACCATAGCGGGAAACTTAAATCAATTCACACTCAAAACAACTTATGTTTTTGGTAATACAACAAATCTGTTCTCAATTATTTTCCAACAAGAACGTGAGCGTTTTTTTTTTTTTCAATACGGAATGTTTATTTAAAGAATGTTGACGAAATTAAATACTTCATGTAACTGAAAACAATTCATCCCCCCAGCCGAATAAGAAAAAAATGAAAACAAAGCGCTGCCACCAGCAAGAAATAGCAAAAAATAAAGCAAAATAATAATTAAACAAAAATAATTATAAAGAAAAGTGAATATAATAACAAAGTAATTCACGGCAAAGTACGTCTAAGTACCGGTGTGAATAATTCATAATACCAAGCCAGAGACTAGCGGGTGCTTGTTTTTGTAGTTTTTTTTTTTTTAATTATTTTTCCAATTTAACAAAAGCCTGTGTAAAAGGGCATTTAATGCGAGACGAACAAACTGGGTGACTACGTCACATCGGTATCTTGCCAATTATGCAAATATTTTTCAACTGCCGCTGATTAGATAAAAGTGAGGAGAAAATTCAAAGGTATGAAACGACGAAGTGATATCATTTGATAATGAATTGTGGATATTTTCAAATAAAGTGGAAAGGTTTTTGTGAAATTTCGATGATCATAGACCTAGGTAAATAAGTGAATAAATAAATACATATAAAGTAAATAAATAAATACTTATATACAGGGTGAGACAAAAAAAAAACTGCAACAAAGTCAAACGCCATAATATTTAATATTTTTTTTAAATTTTATTGAATGAAAGCCAAAAATGTCGGAAATAGCATAAAATTTGAGAATATGTTTAGATTAGTTCGAATTGGTCACCTTTGGCACGAATTATGGTCTTCATACGGCCAATGAAACCGTCCCACGCTGCCCGAATGTTGCTCTGCGTTATTTTAGCCCATTCCCGGCGAAGCGCTTGCTTGAGGTGATCGACACTTTAGTATTTTTTAGGGCCAACCTTGTTTTCCAAAATACTCCAGACACAATAGTCCAACGAATTGGTATCCGGAGATTTTTGTAGCCATTGTGCGCAGGAAATGAAGCGAGGAACCTTATTTTGAAAACATGAGTGCGATGGCGCTGAGTCCTGTTGGAATGTCCAAGGTCTGCGGCCAAAATGTTTACGTGCCCAAGGCACCCTCCAGAATATTTTCGTGATAATATTCGGCATTTATTCTGATGCCACGATCGATTAATACGAGCGGAGAGCGTCCATCGGCTGTTATGACGGGCCACACCATCACCATGGCCGGTGCTTGAGTTCTGGTGGCCAACCGAAGGTGCACATTTTCATCTGACCTCTTTGGCAAGTAAACACGATCATTTTGTTTGTTTGCAAACTACTGGACAACGAATGTTTTCTCATCGCAGAAAACCAAATTCGGCAGTTCACCACTTTCGGCCAAGCGAAGCAACTCTTTAGCACTTTTGAGTCTTTTTTCTTTCTGTTGCGGTGTAATTTCTTGCACTTTTTGGAATTTCGATGGCTTCACCCCGAGCCCATTTTTCAATATTTGCCGAATGGAATATTGCGATAAATTCAGCTCACGAGCCATTTTTGGGCCACTGCGACTCGGGTTTCGATAATTTCGCTTCATTACTTTTCGAAGCATTTCTGCTGATGTTTCTGTTTTCCTTCGTCCACTTCCTTGACGTCGGGCTACGCTACCAGTATCACGTTAACGAGCGACAAAAGATTTATTCACATTTAAATGCTGGAGTGCCACTTGTGGTTTTCCAGCCAAATATAAAGGAATCACACTATCACGCTTGAATAACTTTTTTTCTGAAAAATTCTCACCAAAATGCTTTTGTACGCTTGTAAACAATATATTGAGCTGTCACTGGAGTAATTTTAACAGCTGTCGGACGAGTGGCTTAGGAATGACAGCAATCTGAAGTTGGTTGCAGTTTTTTAATTTAACCCTGTAACAGTTAAAAAAGCGGCTAAGTCTGGCTGGGCCGAACTTTTATTACCCTTGACCAAAAGGAAAAGCTTGCAAAATTAAAAAAAAAAAACAGTTCGCTGAAAATATGCCGCAAAAATTATTGAAACACCGAAGATGGGGTGGTACAGTTATATGGATAAAACTATACGAAAAGGTGGAGCTGTATAACCAATTATGTACCAGAGAAGGCGGTGCCTATTACGAACTTTAAATACGAATTTTAAAATTCTGATACAATACAGAAAATATGTGTGAACATACAGGGGAGGTATGTTGAAACCAAAACGTACGTTGACACCACTATTGCGGAATATATTTTTATAGCTCTCTAACGAACTAGTTCGATTAAAAAATGCATTTATTGAAGAGATTTATTGAAACAACATACATTTTTTTTAACAACATAAAACTTATTTTTATACGATCTACCTTGAAAAGGATGGTATATTAACTTTGTCATTCCGTTTATATCATCCCTAAATATTCATCGTAGACCCCATAAAGTATATATATTCATAATCAGCATAAAATTCGAAGCCGTCTGTTCTTCATTTGCTTTCATTGTGTAGTAGATATAGGGATCTTTCTAGATATGCAGAAACTTTATCGTTTATCATTGTTGTAAGGTATCAAATGATCGAACCCAACCGACTATAGCATTTGCATACTTGTTTCATATGACTTTACAACTTTGCTGGATCCAAAGAAAATCGGACATTGGTCCCCACCTTCAGAGAGTAATCATTCAAATCAACATACTTTAAGTTCTATGTCCGCTGGACGGGATGAACTTTATATTAAGTAGAAAATGCTGGCTACTTTGTATATTGTGCACCATATAGAATGTATGATACAAAAGAACACTATTTCTTAATTTCAAGTTATAAGTTGAACAACAAATCTCGAAATACTCGCCTCACATGGGATAAATTCATTTACATAGGATAAATTCATATATACATACACAAAAACGTACTTTTCTGCCTAACAAATTTATAAATATGGGTACATAAGTGCATTGGGCTTTGTAGTTGTCACAGTGATCATAACACCGAAATTCACAATTCTAGTTTTGTTTTCTTCACTATATACCAAATGTAGTACTATTTAGTATTATTCGTACACAGTACAGATTTTTATACCCTCCACAATACATAGTATGGAGTGTATATTAAATTCGTCATTCCGTTTGTAACTCATCGATATAATAATTATAAACCAAACAAAGAATATATATATTCTTGATCAGCGTAAAATTCTAATAATTTTAACCCTGTCCGTCCAAAAGCAATTAAGATAGAATGTTAAATTTTGCACAGATCAGTCTTTTGTCTGCAGGTATTTAGTTCGAAGATGGGCTATATCGGCCCACGATATCGTATAGCCCCCATATAACGGTACCCCGAGAGTCGGAATTTTGATGATTGTAGCCAAATTTTTCAATAGCATTTCCTGAATTCTACTGAAGGAGTTCTTTGTGAGTACTTTACCCCCTGATCGAAAATTCTCCATATAGGTCTATGATACCCCTTAACGGCACATAACATTCACCGGAGCAGCCAATGACAAAAAATTATAAAAATCGAATGATGGAGGTTTTAAAAAGTTCGACTCGGACGAACTTAGCTGCTCTTTTACCTACTAAATTTTATGTTTACAGTTAACCTAATACCCAAATTCATAACTCCTATGCCAAATGTTGTGCCATTTAGTACTTTTGTTAACATCTTTGTTAACACTTCCCAGATCAGCGCCTTTCTATACTAAATTTGAACATTACACCTTTATCCATTCACCCAATACCACATTGTACCAAATTTAATACCATAGAGTGAAGTACTTACATCTAGTACACAATTTCAAAATCATCTCATTATACCACACTTTATTCTCATACAAAACATTAAGTTTTTTCCTCCTTCCCTTCAGATAATACCAAATGAGACTAAATGGAGTGCATTTTAGTGATACCTAAAATACACATATTTTTGGTGATTCCAAAAGCCCTTTGGTATGTCAATCCTACATAATATCAAAGACCCTCATTTCAGATTTCAAACACCATCCGTTCATCCGAAACCACATGTAGGAAATTTTTTTATTTGTTGTACTTTTTAGCACATAAATTCCCAAAACAACCTCAGAATCTCAACCTTAACTTATCGTGAGTTAAGGTTGAGGTTTTATTACTTTTTAGTACACTTAGAGTTCGAATTTCCACCAACCCAGCCATATCCCGAAATATTTCGATATTTTTCATCCAAAAATAACTTGTTACGTTTCGCCTCTTTTGAGTCTATTTTCTTTCTGTTGCGGTGTATGTTCTTGCACTTTTTGGAATTTCAATTGCTTTACCCCGAGCTTATTTTCCAATATTTGCCGAATGGAATATTGCGATATGTTTACTCTCGAGCAGTTTTATACCTTCCACCATAGTATGGAGGGTATATGAAGTTTGTCACTCCGTTTGTAACACTTCGAAATATACATTGTAGACCCCACAAAGTATATATATATATATATATATATATATATATATATATATATATATATATATATATATATATATATATATATATATATATATATACATTTATATATATATATATATATATATATATATTTATTTATATATATATATATATATATATATATATACATATATATATATATATATATATATATATATATATATATATATATATATATATATATATATATATATATATATATACTAGCTGAAGCCGGTGCGCTTCGCTACCCCTTTTGATTTTATATGCATTCAAAATTTTATTCACGAATATATGTTGGATAAAGAAAAACAAATTTAAAAATTAAAAAAAAAAAGCACTAATACACGAAGGGTTTGTCCTTTGGATTTATTTATTTCATAGCAAATACCAAGCGTGCAGGAAACTGCAATTTTTTTAAGTAGAGTGGTTTTTCTATTGCAATTAGTGAATTCGAGATAGCAATAAGCGTATTTCAAATAAATTGTTGTGTTGTTTTTTAGTGTTAGCCTAAGGCGTTGTTGGTCAATGGTTCCTATTAAAATCATATCCCAATCTGATCCGATTTAAATATAATTTTAAAAAAATTACTTTTACACCAAACTCCGCCACACCTTTCATAATTCATTGAAATTGGTGCGTCAAATATGTGAAATCGGCCGATAATATATATATGGGAGCTATATCCAAATCTTAACTAATTTCCAATTAATTTATCACATTTATTATAATAACCAAATTCCACCACACATTCTGAATTTCATTGGAATCGGTCATATATATCGTGTTTGGTGCATAATATGTATGAAATCGGCCGAAATATATATGTTAGCTATATCCAAACCTCAACTGATTTCAATATAATTTGGCAATTTTTGCTGGTGCCAGATTTTGTCTCTCTCGCTTTGGGTGCATCAAATATGTGAAATCGGCTGAGTATATATTTGGGAGCTATAATCACATCTGAGCGTATTTGAATATAATTTGTGAAATTTATTTTTGTACCAAATTTAGCCACTCATGCCGAATTTCGTTGGAATCGGAAATACGTATCGTGTTTTGTGC